GCTTTGAGGACGGGATTAGAAGAATCCATCAAGCGCGTCACTGCATCGCTGTATGACAGGACAACGTATGAGAACCGAAAGCGATCGACAATCAGGACCTTGGATCCGCACTCGGAAGAGGCGGCAAACGTGGCACTGATTCTCGTTCGCATGAGGATCATGCCGCCTCCTGAATTCGACATCGACCACTTCTTTGAAATCGGGAAAGAACCTGAACAAGGAGCAGAGGCTACTGACCAGCCTGAGGCCGAAGGTGTCGATATGGAGACTGAATTCGAACAGGAGAAGGAGGAGCCAGACGTTGACATGTCCGACCCGAAGACATCAATACTGCAAGCCATCGACGAATTTGAGGAGAAGATCGGGCAAGCAGAATTCTGCATCCACTGCATGAAGTCGGGACACACAACTCTCAATTGCGAGAAGACCCCTTCATCCTCACCTACAGTTACCTCGGTGTTGAGTGATTGGAAGAAGAGAGTGAAGGGAGAGGTTGCACCCGACGATGTACCATCTGGACATCCAACCGAGGAGCCTAAGAAGAAGAAGCAGAGAGCATCGCCTACTCCAGATAGGAAGGTCGACAGCGAGTTCAGGCGAAAAGAGATGTTGAAAGCAAGAGTCGTGACAATGTTTGACCATGACGGATTCACCTTGATCGAGAGTGCTGATGGAGTCGAAGGAGGGACACATTCCTACAATGGGCGGAAGCTTGCGGAAGTTGGCCCTAGGGATATGAGGGTGGTGTACGAGTTCGTAGAGAAGGCATTCGTGCACTCCAGCTCCCTCAAACCAAAGGCATGCCATCACTTCTATCCCCTACCGACACGGAGGGAGAAGGGATACAAGCCGATCGACCCCATGACGATGATCGGGAAAGTCGAACTAGTACCGATCAACGGAGTCACTTTCGCTGCAACGAACTCCGACTATGGCAACCACAAGTATCCGACTCCATACTGTCGAGTACCTGAATACAGCCAAGCGAGCCAGGCCCTGAGTCGTCGATTGGGAGCGAAGTTGAGACATCGAATTGGACGTCAGTTCAGGACAGGTGGGAGACTCACACCAATCAAATGCGATGAAGGCGCATGGGTGTCGTGGGAAGATCTGTTGGGTGATAATGCAGTTTGGGAAGACGGTTATCACTACGGCAACGTAGATACCGTGACCAAGAAGGCGCGTTTGGAGAAGTTCTTCGACCAGAACTATGAGTGTTTCCGCATAACCAAGAGGATCAGATTCCAAATGTTGGCGGTCCGCGTTCGTCCTGATGAACTCAATGATCCTGATGACCCGATGGAGAAGGAATGGATTGACGAACTCAAGGGCATGGGAATCTCCAAAGGAGGACTCCACCACAGCAATGGATGGTGCTTTCCCGTGGCCGTAAGAGCAACCTCAGCACACTCATCAGACGGCGGAGGTTATGACGTCACCATCAACATCGACCACATTGGATCGAGAATGACCAACGACATGGCCCTATCCATGGTGACTGCATTTCACGCTACCAATCTTGGAGCGCTGACTTCAATCATGCGACGGGGGCTAGTGCCAGGAGGTCTCGGTTCATCGGGAAGGGATTCTATCCACTTCACATGTTTTCCGCCATGGGCCTGGGAGCAGGGCTACAAGGGAAAACCTTGGCTGGGCCGTAAGGTCGCATTGAGTGATCGCCCAGTGGTTCTCTACATTCCGGTGTGGAAGCTGCAGGAGTACGGACTTCTCATCTCAGCGACTGGCTCTCTATTGGTTGAGAACGTCGTTCCCTTCGATGAGGTTAAAGGGGCATGGTTGCAATGCGACAATGCGGAACCCGGAAAGCCTGAGGAGATCGAATGGATCAGGTTACTCAATAGAGAACCCGACCCTGGAAGCTACCTTGTTCTGGAGTCCAAATACGGAAACCCGATCATGATCCCACGCTTTCAGAAGCTTGAGAGTTTAGCGGTTGAAGTTCAGGACGATACCTACTCCGAGGACGACGCCAAAATCTCAAAACTATTGGGTATGATCGAGGAGAGTGGCGTACACCCAGAATATGATAGCACCGAGTGGCAGGAAATCTTTGAGGAGATCGTGTACCGCCGGGCAATGAAAGACTATGACTCAAGGCCGTGTCCTAACTGTCTTGGCGAAGTCGATGTGCGGTTGACGGTATGTCCGCACTGCGTAGCGGTGTTGATCGCGAATGGGAAACTCACACATGTGGTACCCAAGGAGACAAGAGACCGCAATCAACGATCACCTCCGAAAGATGTCCCAGCCAGTTCTTCCGGTGAAGCAACTTCTGCTGCAGGTGCAAACATCGATGAAGTCATCAAGAAGGCACGCAAGACAGCCGAAGAGGTCATTGACGTCGAGGAATCCGAAGGAGAGGAAGAGGAGGAAGTTCCTATCATTTTGAAGGAACGACCGGATGAAGCTGAAGGCGAACCCGAATATCGGGAGGTCCCTCAAGATGGATACGGGAATGAACTTCCGCAGCCTTTCCCCTTCGCGATTGACGAATTGCCACAAGAAGCTGCGATCCCCATCGACCACAACTTTGCAGTCACACAGCAGTTTGATCTGAGGTTGATGAAGTTGATCAAGAGCTTGGCCAACGCGACGTTCGACATCAACTGCTTTGAGAGTCGTGAAGACGTACTGCGAAGGTTCGACGATGGACAGCGGCATGACACTCCGTACAATAGATGGCCAATAGTACCGAATGATCCGGATACTGGGTTTCCAAGACGTCTCCAGAGAGCCGAGGTCGTAGGCATGACCAAATGGACCAACGACACGTTTGCAACAGAAGCGTGGCAGATCTATGAGTTCCACGCCCACGTTGTTCACCCGATGATGATCACTGCAATCCGCTGCGGGCTTAGCCACAAGTACCTCAAGGAGGTCGGCAGCACTCGGCGTAACATGAGTGATCCAAAGGCTCGGAGGTCTGAGACCCAGGAAGAGATCGTCGAGAAGCTGGCATTCATCTCAAACTTCATCAGACGCTTGATCAGGAAGACCTTTGGAGCGAGCCGATATAGCTACTACCAGAAACCAGATGACGAAAGTGCCGCTCCATACAAATTCATCGACATTAGCCCCGCCATCAAGTCGGAGCGGAAGAATGTCACGAAGGAGATCCTCGTTGCATGCCGCTACTACGGCATAGAGGTATCCGATATCCAAGCACAGAAATTGAAGCTCTTCGAGAACCAGATCCGAGCGGGAAATCCGAGGAACGTTGAGCTTATCAAGGACTACATTGGCTTTGTCGGTGCTGACTACATGCGACAACTCACGAATGGTTGAGCATTGGGGTCATTCCGACATGCCACTTCCGGTACTTCATGTACTGAGGGATCTTGGGTAATTCATGATGACCGTTTTGGCATCATGGGAGTGAGATAGGATTGTGTGTCACACCGCTGGTAATCGCATGATACCATAGGTAGGTGCACGTTTTCCGCTTGTAGCTCCGTTACCTGTTTGATCCGACTTTCAGGCAAATGCAAGATCTTTTGCAAATTCAGTTCAATAGAACATACTGGTTGACCTCCAATACACTTTTGAGAACGTGATTCGTTCTCCGGTTTTTTACATCCACTCATCTCCCTTCCCCGTCGAAGCACGGATGTGGGGGGTGTCAATAGGGATGAGGTCCCAGTATAGTTGCTATATAGGTACTTGCCATATACTTTTGGCTCAAGTGCCCAACCAGGTAAAAAGGAGCTTTAGCGCGCGAGCTTCATGTTGAACTAAGGGCTAGAACGGGGCCTGGGCACGCCTTTTCATCCGTTCGCAGACATCGTGAATTCTTTCTCTATCGATTGTTCGTTTGCTGTCAGTCGGTCGGCTAGGGAATGTATGCTGTCCATTTGAGTGTTTGCGTGCCTGTTTGCATGGTTGCCCGCTTGTATTTTTGCTGAAGGATAGTGGAGGGAATTGATGGCTATCCCACAGTGATTTGGGCACTTGAACAAGAAGTAACACCGCACTTCTAGGATTTGATGTGTTTTCACTCCACGGGCGTTTTGGCCATTGTCCATGTTCATCCTGTGACCTGAGGAAAATCTTTTCGCCTAATCCATTGACCCACCCAGCGCCGTGCGCATCGTGTGGTGAGCCTGCTGGTGAGATATACAGACTCTTAATTTTCAGCGGAAAGCGGTGCGAAGCGTGGTAGCGCGGAACGTTGCGGCGGTCACTCGGCGCCATCAATCCGTTGACTCAGCTGAGGGGTTGGCGTGTGTTCATTCCTTTTTTTCCGATGCGGAAACCGGGGAGAGCGAGCCGACACTGGAGCGGGCTTGTTAAGTTGTTGACAGTTATTCTTTGGGTTGTTTTGAGAGGTTTATTGAATGAAGGAAACAGGTGCAGGCAAAACGGAGAACATCAGGGTTTCGCAATGCTGCTTTCACAACTCCTCACTCCGCTCTTGACTTAAGCAGGGATATTGACCAGTCATACAGATGAGTTTAGCACCTTTTGATTATGATTTTTGGCTTAAAATGTGTAGCAATTCCAAAGAGCTTTGGTTTTGCTGTGAAAGGGGCCAGAGAAAGGGCTGTCCTGGTCCTGTTTTGGCTCAAGCATTAGCTGATTATGTGTAGATGGTTAAAGAAAAAGGGATTTCACAAGCAACATGCAGCATGCAGCAACATAGACAAAACGAAGCCACAACTCCCAAGAAAATATATATATATATTTATCCCTTCCGTGACACACGGGTCCAAGCTCTTATTGGTAAAGCTTTCGGAAAGACCTACTTGAGCGCTTTTGCCCTTGCAGATTCATCCGCTTGCAGGGGCAAGGGAATTCTCTCAGTTTCCAGCAACCGTCTTAAGAATTATGTCTGCTAGAACTCAGAACATGCTGCTCTAACTCCAAGACTGCAAAGAAACCACAACTGAGAGGTCATTGGAGTTGATGGTCAAAGAATCAATACACAAAAGTCACATTTCAAATGTCTCGACTTGGCAAATGCCAGCAACACGAACGCGGTCGAAAAGGTCAATTCTGCCCCATAGGACTTGGGGCCTTTCTGTAGGACTCGCTGAAAAGACCCACTTGTGGGGCCACCGTGCGTCGGGCAATTCCAGAAGCAGGCGGGTGGGGTGTTGGTAGTGCCAGTTTCCGCGCTTAGTTTTGCAAGGGCAAACTGAAAATGACCTTTGGTGGTCAAGGGTGTTGCTCATCTTGAAACTCCTGCGTGGCACTCCATCTTCGAGCCAAGGACATGGGATTTAATCCAGGTGTTCCTTCGAGGTTGCCCTCTACCTTTTTACGGCCACCATCCCCTCAACAAGTCTGAAGTCGATGGGTAGAGAAGATGAGCGAAATGCACTAGAGTACTAGAGAGTGCTCGTAGAATTCGAACTGCCAGTTCTCAGGATGTGCCACGTGGCAGCGTGGTAAGATCAAGAATCTGCTGGAAGAAATTTGTTTGTCTTCCCGGTCTTCCCCTCTTTCTTTGTCTCCCTTGATCTATTGACGGGTGGTTTTGAGGTTCTATTTGGGCCCATGCGAGAGTTTTGACATCAGAAAGGAAACGAGATGCTGAGCCGCAACATGCAGGCCATGCGGGAGCTCCTGTTCTCACCGCTCTTCTTCGCGGTCTGGGACTTGACTTAAGTGGATTGTTTTTGGTAGAAGGTGAGGCAAGAAGGTGCTCTGAGGATGCCATGAAATCTTCAAAAGGACGCATCTGAAAAAGAACCACCAAACGTCCCTTCCAATTCCAATTTCAAAAAACGCGCCCTGTCCCGGGTATCAAAAGAAAGACATGTTACAGAGAACGCCTAGTTACCTAGTTTTCTGGACCCGGTGATTGATGTTATGACGAGAGAGAATTGCCAGTTACTGAGTTTTTGATGTGAACCTGAGAACCTGATTCTATAGAGAGTCCATGATTTAAACGTTTAGTGTTTGTTAGATTGTTAGTATTCGGGATTGTGACTTTTTGCACGTCGAGGTGTTTGAACGATTTTCTCAGTGTAGATGGGTGTAGAGTGCAGCCGTGGTTGCTCCCTCAGTCAGAAACCCACTCCCTCGTGCCCGGACTCCTGGACTTTCAGACCCATCCCTTCCGTCCTCGAGCTCAGGCGGCCGTCTCCGCTGTCTGTGAACAGCCGAGCGACTTCCAGCGGCAAGCTGTCGGCCTCGCCGCCGCGCTGAAGAGCGACCAACGGGGCCAGGCAGTCGCGTTACGCGTCGTGTGGTCGGGTGGGGAGGGCTTGGACCAGCTGTAGAGGGCTTGGTCTTTGGCATAGGATGTGCGAAATTACAGGATGAGTCGAGGGGGGGTCGCTTTTTCCAAAACATAAACCTAACCAGACTTATTACAAACCTCTAAGATGAGGTTAGACAGAATCCTGACTATTATCTAGTCTCTTAAATCCTGACTATTATAGAATGGGCTAGCGCCCGGGTGCCGCCGACCCCGACACACTCCCGTACCTTGCGCTCACGGTCCATGTCCGCAGGGAAATCAGGCCAGTATGGCCAGAGCAACTCCGCCCACAGTCTCGCACAGAGCCC